CGGGACTGGCGATTCGGAAAGTCGCGCGCGACAAGCATCCTTCGTCCAGGTTCGCCCACCTTCCCGGCCGCACCGGGTCTTACCCCTTCCTTCCTCGCCTCTTCTGTTCCATGGGAACGTTCGCTCGACCGAGGCGTGGCGCCGGAACTCGAGGAACGTCCTAGTCTCCCGGCGACCTCTCCTCGGAAATTACCACCGACGACCGCGTTCCGACGCGACGCAACGCGAAACGTCGTTGATCGTTGATCGTTTATGATTCATGCGTCGTACAGATTCGAACGCTTAACCCTCGAATGACCAGGTTGCACTCTACTTTCGCATGAAATTCGAACCGTTGCTTTTACTTTTCACTCGTTTATCGGTAAATTGGACCGTTTGCTGGCCTAAATGAGAGCAACTCCGAGCACTGCGTGTCCTCGCGACCGATAGTCGCTCTCTCTCTCTCTCTCGATCGCTCGACGCTATTCCCCTTTTCTGGTCGAGTACTCTTCGACGCGTCTTGCCGGATCACTAGAGTATCCGTATCGTAATCATAGTAATACCAAATGTACTAAATGTCACGAGAAAACAACGATAATAACGATTATCGATTATCTCGCGACTAGACGGACATTTAAATGAAACCCTTCGTACAGCTGGAACCAAGAGCTAACCAAATATTCTCCGTAGAGAGAAATTGGCGAAGAACGGTGTTGGTTAGTCGCGTGTTGTGTCCGAGCGTATCGAACATCGAACCTGAAAACGACGATGCAAATACCAAACTCGCAGTGGAGTGGTAAACTATTGATCGGTCAGTGGTGGCGCGCCAGCGCAGCACGGCCCCGAGGCCGACAAAACAGTAGCAATCTACCCTCATTCACGTTTTGCGCGGTGCCCCAACACCCGTCGGTCCTAACGTGTTCCCTCTCTGTTGCTATTTCGACACTGCCAAAGTGTCGTCGCGCGTGGCTAATATGTCCGGTGGTACGTGTGCATGTTTCCGATATTCGATTCATTCGCAGATCCAAGTGACCGACTCCGCCTTTCAAATGTTACTCGAGTTTCAGTGGCGAAACACACGCTCGATCGGTCCTCGATGCGCACATTTTTCGTTTCACCGAAATAAAATTCCGATTTCTTCGAATTCGATCGGTTTGGCGACTGAACGATTCATTTGTCCTTGCTTTCCTCTCTCTCTCTCTCTCTCTCTCTCTCTCTAGTTCCCATGTGCTCTGTGCTTTTTCGAGCGAACGCGATAAAGGAATCGAAACATCAGAATTGATGGATAATCGAAAGAAAGCAGGGGCAAACGGAGACGACAGGGCAAGAAACGATCGACCCGCGACGGGTTCTAGTTCTAGGCTCCTATTTAATTAACGTTCCGCTTTGTTCATCAAGACAGGGACTATATCGGATTCGCGACGTTGCCCGAGCAAGTGCACAGGAAATCGGTTAAACGGGGGTTCGAGTTCACCTTGATGGTGCTTGGAGAAAGCGGGCTTGGAAAGTCCACCCTGATAAACAGCCTTTTCCTCGGTGATCTTTACAAAGATCGTCGCATTCCCGATGCCGGAGGTTTGTAAATCGGAAACATTTACCCTAGAGGAGCTTGCGTTTCGCGGGTTTTCAATAAAAGTCGTGTCGTAGAGCGCATCAAGAAAACAACTACGATAGAGAAGAAGACGATGGACATAGAGGAACGCGGTGTCAGGCTGCGATTGACGATCGTTGATACGCCAGGTATGATTCTTGCTTCTCGCATTCTTACTTCTGCCAGCTGAAATGTACAAGGTGGACCAGTAATTCTTTTCTTGCTAGTGGCCACTGTTGGCATTCGTCTAGATTTCCAGGATGTTCGCTTCGTTCGATCGCTAGACTCGTACAACACAGGACCTTGTAGATATTACTAATAAATTCAAAGACTCGACTTTACACGCTACGCTTCCCAGAACTAAAAACCTAGCGATAAGAGTCGTCCGAGACTAGGAATAGGTGGTTTCATCGGGTGCTCTGTTCTTACCGGTCCACCTTGTATGCAATATTCCAAAGTATATGTGTGTGTGTGTGTGTGTGTGTATATATATATATATATATATATATATGGTGTGTCCAGGTTTCGGCGACGCAGTGAACTGCGAGGACACTTGGAAAGCGTGCTCGGCGTACATCGACGAACAATTTCGGCAATACTTTACGGACGAGAGCGGACTAAACAGAAAGAACATTCAAGACAACAGAGTGCACTGTTGTTTATACTTTATCCCTCCATACGGTCACGGGTATAGCTCGATTTTCCTATTCGAACCTCGTACGACGGATGATAAACATTATCGATGTAGAGTCTGCAACATTTGAAGAAATTCAACGTATACGCGATACAGTATAAACGAATAAATATAGAAATGTAACCGCTATCGGATGAAAATGGGCCGGCGTTCGTCGTGCGAGGGTAAAATAAGCTCGAGAATCGAGAATGAGAATGGTGAATCGCGATTCGCGTCTGCCCCTCCTCTCTTTCACGAAATTTCCGTTCGTAGACTGAGGCAACTCGATTTGGAGGTACTGAGGAGGTTGCATCGCAAGGTGAACGTTGTCCCAGTGATCGCGAAGGCGGACACCTTGACCACGTACGAGGTGAAGAAGCTGAAGGAACGAATTCTCGCAGACATCGAGGAGAACGAGATTCAGGTAGCGCCTCTAAGCTGGACCATAGACGAACAAGCATGCCGGTCAATCATCCTTGCCGCTCCACGACACACTTTTTAGCTCGAAACACAGTTTTACAACGATACAGTTTTCCAAACAGATCGAGTTTCTGTAATGGTTCGACAGATGTTTGTCATCTTACTATTTCCATTTAAAAAGTGTCCACTTGCCGAGCTCGAATCGAAAGCAAAATTACCATGTCGCGTACTCCTGATCCACAGGTGAAACGAAACGAAACGAAACGAAACGAATCGATTTCGCAGTTGGCCCGCCACGTCCATGCCGAACTCGGACAAACTGAAAGGACACAGCGGCAAAGGCACTCGGTTGCACGCTTCATCTCGCTCCTTCCAGGAAACTGTACTCGGAGCTGCGTTTCCGGAATTGCTTCCCTCTTCTTCGTCCAGAGTGGAAAAGAGTCTCCTTGCCCCTGTGCACTCGTTAGGTGTTGGCGCGCGGCTCGGCATGGTGGTGCTGGGCCAACTGTGCATATCGTTTCTCGAGTATCGCGTAGCAAAATGTCCGTGGACAATCGGAATGCTTGAAAAGCGTGCTTGCTCTTCTACGCGTCGAACGAAAACGTACGAAAGAGAAAGAGAGATAGAGACCAACAGAGAAGGGGAAAGAGAAAGAGAAAGAGAAAGAGGAAGAGAAAGAGAAAGAGAAGGAGAAGGAGAAGGAGAAAGAGAAAGAGAGAGAAAGAATAAGAGAAAGAGAAGCTGAAACGCGAAAGGACACACGATGCTTTGCACATAGATATATCAGTTTCCGGACTGTGATAGCGACGAGGACGAGGAGTTCAAGCAACAGGACAAGGAGCTGAAGGCGTGCATCCCGTTCGCCGTGGTCGGAAGCTCGACGGTCCTCGAGGTTGCAGGGAAGAAGGTCCGAGGTCGGCAGTATCCTTGGGGAGTGGTGGAAGGTAATTAACTTTCGTGTCTTTTCAAACATTCTCAGACCTAACCAAGTCATTCGGATGAACGTAACAAGCGCAGGGGGGCCAGTATGAACGAACAAATCGGCAAAACGTTCCTCCTCGTAACATTCGAAGCCATCTGGAATCTCTGAAAATATTCAAATCTCTGTTCAAGTTAAAAACTGTCGTTGAATGGATAATCGTTTGATCGTAATGATCAACAATAATAATATATATATAATATATATATATTTGAACTCTGCCGATTTCTTCGATCTCTCGGACCACTGTGCACAGAGATTCCCCGAAACGCGATTAACATTCCGGTTTCGATCGAGCGCAGTGGAGAACCCGAAGCACAGCGATTTCGTGAAACTCCGAACAATGCTGATATCCACGCACATGCAGGATCTGAAAGACGTAACGCAGGACGTGCATTACGAGAATTTCCGGGCCCAATGCATTTCCCAAATTTCACAGCAAGCGATTCGGGAACGGAGGTATTTACGCATGTAAATAAGTATTGCATTTCAGTAGGTATATATCTTTTCTCTAGACGTACGTCTCTCTCTCTCTCTCTCTCTCTCTCTGTTCGTGTAATGTTTCTCTGTTTCCTGTGGATCGATCGATCGTCTCATTCCTTTTCCATCGGAATCGTTGGTCCACCGGTGCGTAGAAAAAGGAAGAACGGCAAGGAAACGCGAAGCAATTTGTCTTTGCTGATCCTTAGAAATATTCCTATCGAATCGCAGGAAATAATTCATCGAAAGCTACAGAATTCTCTCATCTCGGATTTTCCTTGGCGTTACAATCGTTTCTACGCAGCCCCGCGCGTCTACTACATCCATGTGCATGAAAAGTACGTGTATTTGCGAAATAACTTTCCCGCTAAATTTCACGTTTGTCTCTATGGAAATGAGAAACGAATGAGGTTCGAGGGTATTTTTCTTGGTAATTAGGCATTTGATTCGAATCGAATGGCACGTTGATATCACGTATCTAGATATATTATTTAATATGCTCGTTTAGAAAGGTTCGTAACCTGTCATGTCCTTTATTTCTAGTCGTGTCCTCTCTATCGAATTACTAGAAACATACTCGACATACTTGACTGAAATTGAAACTCGAACGGGAGTTGCTCGCGTTGCTCGCGTTGTTCGTCTCCCTCGAAGAGATCGATTCGTACGACTCGCGGACCCTTCGAGCAACTGTCCGAGCTACTCTTTCAGCTACCGTTCGAGCCACCGCCGTGCTCGCGACGCGTCGCGCCGGTTCTGCGAGTATCGATCAATTACCATAAGCATCACACCCAGCTTCTTCTGTTCCCAGTAAACTGAAGAGAGATTCGGGTCCTCATTTTGAGAACAGTATATCGGACACCGACCGATTGCTGCTGCAAAAGGACGAAGAGGTAAGGGATAATAGAATACGATAACGCGAAATCAACGAGACGACGAGCTTAGCTGGTACTTTCGCGAAATTTCTGCAGATTCGGCGGATGCAGGACATCCTCGCGCAGATGCAGGAAAAATTGAAGGCCACCGGTCAAGTTGGGCCTGGTATCGGTCTCCGAGGAAGAGTCGGCAGTCTTGGGAACGATTTGGACTCCACCGACGTCGAGAAGAAGCGCAACAGTATTATAGACGTTTGAACGATCGGACGTGTCCCCGGCGATACACACAGTCCTAGTAAATTAGGATTATATTCGAGACGCGCGAGTGGTACGTTTCCACGAACGGTGTCCTGGTCAAGGCCCACGCGAATACGCACAACACACGACACACGAGTAACGTACTCGACGGGAGAAAACCGCAGCGTGTTGCACACCTCGGCACCTAGGAGAGCTCCGCTATGTAATGCTTCGAACATTACCATTATCCGTCCCGCGTGGACCGTTCTTAATTCCTTCTCGATCGCGAACCATTGAAAAACCATTCGAACAAAACTGATTCGATCGACGATTAATAAAAGTATTCCGATTTCTCGACTTTAGGCGTGACAAACAACAGACTCTGAATCTTTGTTGGAACATTAACATTAACGTTAACATTAACGTTAACATTAAAATTAAAATTAACATTAACATTAACATTGACATTGACATTGACATTAACATTAACATTAACGCGGAGAGCGCAGCAGAAAGGAATTGATATGTTGCATTACTAGTGTAGAGAGCATATCAAAGGGGCGATAGCTGACACACTTTTTTCAGGCATTACAGTATTATTACTCGAACCAAGACAAGAGATCTGTCGCGTTCAAGTGTCGCTTTTCCCACGCGGCGTTTCCACTTTTATATATATATATATATATATATATCTATGTATATTAATCGACGGAACTGTCCTACTTCTCCAACAGTATTTGATATCTCTATCACACGCTAACACGAACGACGAATTCTATTGTACATATAACGAATAGAAAAGCGAAAAAGCGAAAAAGCGAAGAAGCGAAGAGGCGAAGAAGCGAAGAAGCGACAAAGCGACAAAGCGAAGAGAAATAAAGGATTATTCACCGCTGGGACGACGTGTATTCTTTCGCAGACTAAACAAGTGTATTTCCTCCACTTTACCTTTCCGTCCCACCTAAATATCCCATACCTTCCATGGTACTTGGATACGATAGGCGCGATAGTGTCTAAACTTGTCCTGGCCCATAAAAACCGCCAACCTCCATTTACTTGGATCACCGAATTCTAGGCTTTAGTAGGCTTCTATTTCAACGATAAGGTAACTTGCAACATTTCCTTTTATTCTTCCTGAAAATGTTCGAGAAGAAATGAAATTTTCAATAAAATTTCAGAAGCAAATGGAAATACGGACCTTTTGTAATACGTCGAATCGTCGAATCGCTGCGATCGAGAAATATTTCTGGAATTTCGTTGTTAGGAAACGCGCCTGTGAGATTGGTAAATCGGGATTTTAATAATTCCGTGGAAAAAATGACAAGCGCTTCAAAGCGATTAAGGAACCGTTGCGAGCGTACCGAATAAGTGATTACTGCTTTATAGCTAGACAGACAGTGCGGTTTTATTATTAACTATAATTATAGGTATGGATCCGTATTAAAGTTCCCCCGAATAACTGTGATTCCGTGTTCGTTTCGTCGCGCCCGCGGCCAGCAACCCGGTATAAAATCCACCGTCTTCGCAACATTTTCGCTATTTTCGTTCAGTCGAGTATCATCGAATCGCGCCAACTTGCTAATGATTCGAAAGGTTTGTCAGTCGTTTATCTCGGTGTTATCTTTTATTCCGTGATTCGATGCGAGTTTCGTTAAAGAGATGACGATAGTTTATTAAAAATCCTTCTCGTTTCTATAGATTAGTCCTGTAGATTAGTTCTATAGTTGTGTCGCGGCATCGCGCGGCATCGCGCGGCATCGCGCGATCGTACAAGCGTGTACACGCTGTGTACCATTATTCGCGTAAATCCACTCACTTGGCATCTTTACTCGCACAGGCACTCGTTTTAACGACGATGATGGTAGGAATTTTGGGCGAACCTCAAGGACCTGCCTATCTTCCGCCTTCAGGAACGCGTCCAGCTTCCGGCGGAGGAGGAGGAGGAGCTGCTCATCCGGACGAATGGGCCGGTGTAAGTGAATTTTCTTCTTCTATTTAGTATTTACTCATGTCCTTACACGCGCTACTAGAAATACTATACTGTACAATAGGATCCGGCAAACTACGAATTTTCCTACGAAGTCCAAGATGGGGTCGCCGGACTAGACTTTGGTCACCACGAATCGCGAAAAGACAACGAGGCGACCGGAACTTATCACGTGTTACTACCAGACGGCAGAACGCAAATCGTCGACTACGTTGCCGATGAAACAGGCTACCGGCCAGTGGTACGGTACGAAGGAACGGCAACGTACCCTGCGCCGGGATCTGCGCCGGGATCTTCACCGGGATCTTCACCGGGATCTTCACCGGGATCTTCACCGGGAGGATCGAGCAACAACGAAGGATACCGATACTAATCCCTTTAGAATCGAATAAAAAATTTGTAAAGATCAACTTGTAAAGTCTCCAGTTGCTTTTACAGTGATAATCGGCAGTAAATATTTACAAAGTGATATATTTCCAACGAACAGAAAAACTTTGCTTTCCCGAGTTCGAACGTAATCTTTCATGTGGTTTTGCTTTCCCTAATGTATCGCAAAACTTCCTGCACGTCTTGGCGCGAGCCCAAGAATATCGGGGATCTTTGGTGAATATTCTCTGGTACAACTTCCAAAATGTCGATTTCCCCGTTGGACGCCATGCCTCCGGCTTCTTTCAGTATATAAGCCATTGGAATACATTCGTATAAAAGTCGGAGCTGCAAGGAGATGAATTCCAACGAAACGATTTCAAATCGATATTATAGATATATCAACTTACCTTCCCACTCGGATGACTTTTCGTTGCCGGATAAAGAAATATTCCTCCGTATTTTATCGTCCTATGCACATCGGCGACCATGGAACCCACATACCTCGCGCTATACGGTTTCCCATTAGTGGGATACTTTTTCGAACGAACGTAGTCTTTGATAGCCGTGTCCCAAGCGCCTTCGTGGCCTTCGTTGATGCTGAAATCACGATCGTTTCGTTCCGAAAGAGACTCCGAAAGCTAACCAGGAGCAAGAAGAAGTACCGAGTACCTGTATATTTCTCCTCTAGGGGGAACCCGTATGTTTCTCTCGGTTAGGATAAATTCGCCGATCGCTGGATCGTAAGTGAACCCGTTCACCCCGTGACCGATCGAGAGTACGATCATGGTCGCGGAACCGTACAGCGCGTATCCAGCGGCGACCATGTTCTTGCCAGGTTGCAGAGCGTTCGCCAGCATGGGCTCGATCGGTGGCTCCGGTTTCTTGTAAATCCCGAAAATCGAGCCGACCGACACCAAACAGTCAATGTTGGACGAACCGTCCAACGGATCGAAGCATATTATGTATTTCCCACGTTTCTCGAGCTCCACTTCGATCGCGTTCGCGTTCTCTTCGCTGACGAGCATGTAGCTGGTGAACGAGGACGTCAGCATGTTCACGAACAACTCGTTGCTCAGCACGTCCAATTTCTTCACCTCTTCTCCCTGAATGTTTTGTGCGCCGGCTATTCCGTACCTGACACGAGAACGCGTAAGTTAGATACAAGCGTAAGGTACAACGTACGATAAGAAACGATTTCGAAAGGTTTACAAAGCAAATGAAGTCAGTGTTGAAAATGGTGTCTATTCGATAGTACGGTAACCATGATACATATATATATATATATATATATATATATATATATACTCACATGTTCGCGATGCCGGCTTTTCTGACCGCCGAACTGACGGCTTTCACCGCGGTCTGTATGCTGTTCAAAAGCTGGCTCAGGTCACCGGTGGCGGCCGGTATTTTTCGTTGTTCGGCGAGCACGAACCTCGTCAATGTCATGCAATCGGAATCGAACGACGACGGGCTTTTCAAACTCATTTTCGCAGCAACGATATGCGTATCCTCGTTCTTCGTTCTTCTGCCGTTTCGCGTGCCGGCTCGCTGATCGAACTAAACCAACTACTAAAACCGAATACGTCCAACCGCTGTTATATAAGGTCAACGGGCTTCACGATACTCTGGGTTATCACCGTGGTGAAAGTGATATTAGGAGATATCCCAACACATTCGCGAATCACGATCATTCTCCTTCTCGAATGGCTACGACGATTAGTTTCTGGCTACAACAGATTAACGGCGCCTGCTTTAAAAACAAATATTGCGCAACGACCAGGCACACAACTAGAAGAGCTCGCTTTAAAGTCTGACCCGAATGTTATCGTCTCGACTATTCTTATTCACATTATCGTATTACTATTTGTATTATCTGAAACTGGACGTGAAAGAATTGCACAATTTTTCCATTCCTTCGATTCGCATCTTTGTTCGTTGTTTTGCTTCTGTATAAATCTTCTGTATAATCTATGAATGATTTTAGATTAACGCCTAGAATATTGCCCTACCTAACATTTTCTCTACTTAGGCTACCGAATTATTCGCTATTATTATTATTCGATGGATACTATATCGATTCTGCTTTTCCTTCTCCGAACTTGATCGCTTCGACGAATCTACCAAACTGGTATACGCGTAGTACTCTGGTATAATTATCTTTTCAAAATATTCCAGTTTTCTCCAGCTACCCCGACAGTTCCAAATATTCTCTATCCTTTCTGCATTCTATCTATATACATCGGTGCTCTTATTTCTTCGCGATTCAAGCAAATTCGCTTGTTATTCTAGAAATTGCAGAAATTACAGAAATTACAGAAAATTTATATTGAAAATTCTATTACATTAATTATACTCTGTACTATGTACGGTACATGTTTCGTGTAATTGTTCAAATTAAAACATACATTACCAGAGTTATTACTATTTATTATTATCCACATGTGCACATAAATGGTATACCTAATGTACCTAAGCAGATTTATTCTAGTAACGTAAAGATCAATTTCGCTACAAGTATTCACTTTTCATCTTTACTTTTTTCTTTTTCTTTTTCAACTTCTACATTTTTCGCAGGATACAATCTATGATATAACTGTTCGTATTCCTTCTTGAGTTCTTCTCTCTTCGCAAAATATTTCGGATATCTAGCTTTTTCGACTGGATCCCAAAAATCGAGTGCACTGTCTGGTGGATGTATCCAATTCTTATAAAGTGGTCCGCCAAAAGAATCGGGAAACCTTCTTGGCGTATAATGTCTCTTCCGCAATATTTCGCTTTCGGCATCCAATAGAAGCTTTTTTGCGACACGGGCATCTTTTATATGTCTATTTTGTTCAAACCGCTGCCTTAGTAAAGTTGCTTCGTACCTTGATAAAAATTCAGTTTCTTTACAAAATAACTCGTTCGAACATTATTATTATTATTATTATTATTACTATTATTATTATTGTAGTGCAAGAAATACAATTCCATGTATTCTTTCATTTTTATTCATAGATGTGTATTTAAAGTTGTACATTTGCACACATATCCACAGTGCATCTGTGTCAGCTCGAGTGGTTACAACAGTGGTTTTGAAATAATCAATTGTATTTATATTAAATGAAATCATAAAAATGAAGATTTTCCGAATTAATCGGAAAATAATGAAAGTTTTAATACTGAAATTTATGCCTGACGAACTACGTATGTTACACGTTAAAGAATTTTTCAAAAACTATACGTTTATAAACAAACATACCTGAATTTATCTTTCTCTATATACCAGTCCTCCACAGCGCGTACAGCACTTTTGTATACTCTACATACTTTTTGGCTGTGAGTAATTACTCCTGTTGGCAACTGTGCCATTTCCTTTGAAATTTTATAACTTAGATACTTTTCAAAAAATTATTTTACTCTGAAAAAGAAATTGCGTAACAACGGAACTGCCATAAACCACGAGTAGATGAAATACCTACAATCTAGACGGGGAACCGTGTCTCTACGAACATAACAAAACTAAAGAGTATTGTAATTTATATACTAAAATATAACATTAGTAACTCTTTCGATAATTATGTAGGAATCTAATGAAATAATAACAAATAAATACAACTTTAACAGCTTTAAAGTTGACCTCATTTAACGAGTCCTTGATTTTCGATAAGATCATTTATGCTCTTACACCTTATGATTTTCATTATATTGTCATTCAATATAATATAAAATACAATTTATCTTTTAACATATAATAAGCTTGATCACATATAAGAAAATTCTCGTATAAGAAAATCTACATAACAGTGTATATTATTTCGAATATTATCAAACCTTCTATTTAAAGTAATAATTCGATTTAAAGTAATAATCTTACGATTAGGGGAAAAACCGTATAGAAATAGTGAAAAGTAGCTACACATAAAGTGTAGTTCGAAAGAAAGAAATTTCACAGAAATAACTTCCGGTTAAGCGTCGCGACGGAAGTATAGTTTCTGACAAAGAATGGCGATATTGTCGTTTCAATAACAGACCCCTTATTTTCAGAGTACTTAACGCCCGATTCTTAGGACGCGACGCGAACTTTTCACGCAATTAAGGAAACTTTTCATATAGTAACGTGGTGCAATGAATTCAAGCCTTGTTATTGATTTTAAGCGACAAAATCGGATTTGAATCTCTTCTACCGAGGAAGAAATCCAACCTTCAATTTTATTCTCAAATAAGAAACACAAATTACTTGGATTTCTTTAGAAGGAAATATAACAATATTTTCAAAAGAAATATTCGAATTTCTCTTTTTCCTCGGATGAACTTTCAAACAATTTCCTCGAATAATTCATCGACAATAGTAATAATAAATGCTATTATTAATTTCAATTTGATCGATAAGCATAAACGATTATTTTAGATTTGTTCCGAGTCACAACAAATGACAGATTAAAGTTCTTCCTAATGATCGTACAATTTCTTTGAATCCGAAATCGAAAGTGTAGAAGCAAGTTTTTAAAGGCTGTATTGTTTACTTCCTTCGAATCATTTTCAACGGACGAAATGGTGCCGACGATGCCGCCTGATTCGCATAAAATCTCACTGAAAATTATCGAAGCGATAAAACAACATCCAGTTTTGTATAGTGCCGAAGTAAAGGGTTCTTCGGTTAAGCTTCAAGAGTTCCGGCAAAAGGTTTGGAAGAGGATTTCCGATGAACTTGGTCTTGATCGTATGCACTCGCTTACTTTTTCGTCTTTTTAAACATAATTCTCTGTACATTCGTTATCATGTCAGTTTAATTAATAAAATGCCCATCAGATCCATACTCTTTATTATTACAAAATCTCCTTTTTACGTGTTTTCTTTTGCCTAAAGTGGCGTTCAAAAGAATTATCGAATAAGTTTTATCATTTATAACCAGAAAAACTATAGAAAAACAATCATTGATGACAAATTTATCTTTGCTGAAATATTAAACTTTTGGTTAAATAAAATATCTTCCTCCACCATGAAAAATCATTTTCATTTTAATTTTGTATTTTTTCAATTGATACATTCAGTAAACAGTCTATTCCTTAATTTTTTCATACTGTTTACATTTATGTTTATGTTTATGTTTATGTTTATGTTTATGTTTATGTTTATGTTTATGTTTATGTTTATGTTTATGATTATGTTTATGTTTATGTTTATGTTTATGTTTATGATTATGATTATGATTATGATTATGATTATGATTATGATTATTAATATTAATATTAATATTAATAACATCTTTCTGGTTGTACATTATTTACAAATTTAGTTACTCTGTTAATGAGGGAAATATAGAAATCTAATTACATTAATACTCTTAGCCACCTGGGTAAGACTGAGATGGAAAAATTTAAGGGACACCTATTGTCGCATACTTAAGTATAAAAATAAAACAGAGAAGGGAGTTCGTAGGAAAAAATGGATTTTTGAGGATCACCTTAGTTTCTTAAAATTTCCGTAAGTACTTTTAATAAATTTAATGTAAATTTAATAATATATTTTACGTTAACATTGTATATTCTTAAACTTCTTTAATTAGATATGAGTCTGATTATCAGCCTCAAAGCATAGAATTAACGGAAGACTATATTCAGGACATTAATGCTGGTGGAATCAGTTCTGAAGGTCTTTTGGAACAATTGGAAGATCGTAACGATGAAGATTACAGTGAATATTTGGAGGTCCTGGAAGAAACAACTGCCGATCCGATCTTAGATCGTGAATCTATAGAACTAACCGATAATGGAGATGGTACAGTAAAGAGTGTGATAACAGAAGAAACAATGTCACATGATATTGACATGTACGCGCAACAAATTCAATCAAAATACAGAAAAATAAGGCCAAAAAAAATGAAAGTTGAACCAGTAGAAGTGCCTACAACTTACAGTATCTTAAAAACTTCAGCTTTCAAGAATAGAGCAGTTGATACGCCAATTTTTGTTTCCACACCAGTCGCGAACAATCCAAACAAAAATGTTTCAACAGATGTAAGTTGAATGCTGGAGTTCTTTTCATTACCATAAGATAGATATATAGATATCATTGGTTTTTCAACTCACTGATATCCTATCATTTTTTATAGGATACACAGAGTAATTATGATCAAGTTTATTTAGCTCCAGAAGGAAAAAGCAGTATAGAACTATTTTTCGATAGCATGGCACAAACTGTTAAGCGACTTCCACCTAAAGCACAAGCAGATATCAAAATGAATATCTGTAAAATTGTAACAGAAGCAGAACTCAGATATTCTGGACGTAATACACCACAAAGTACTCAACAATTTATTGCACCGCCTGGAATGATTCCAAAGTTAGTTCTTATACCGTGTAATATGATTGATAGGCAAACTAATAAGGGTTGACAATATTTTAAATATTAGTTTCTTCTCAATCAAGAGTTATTGTGATATATTGTAAATTAATAGAAGATGAGAAGATCATAATGATATTGGTAAAGAAGAAGGGCAACAACTGCAGCAATGAAAGTGTTCTAATAAAGACAATTTTTATAATTAGTGTGGTGTTTCCTGTTTTGTAACATAAATCAATGAAAATAGTTTATGTACATAAGTGTTGTCGTTATATCTTAAACTGTTGTTATACATAAATATACTTATTTTAATATAAATATCAAGTATTAATCTCATTTATATCCACTTATATCATTTTCATTAACTACATGATACTTCCTTCTGCGGACAAATAATTTTTTTGTAATGTTAGTCTGTTAATACATACATTTCTGAAGACATTATCGGTGATTAATTCAATGAATATTAGCTTTTCATTTCATTTCAAATGTGTAACATACACTGAAATCGTTCATATATGGTACTTATAACTACAAAGATGTAAAGTTTCTGCAAAAATAAAAATTTATCAAGTAAAGTAATTATGCAAAATAATAACAAGATATCAGTTTAATAAATCATGTATAACTATATTATTAATATTATTATTTTATATATCTAATAAATATACAAATAATATTTGATTTCTCCTTCAAGCTCAACTATTTACTATTTTCAGAACTTATTCGTGTAATAACAATTTAGAAATATCGAATGAAAGATCGATCTTTCGTAGAATACGTATTGTACAATGCGTCTAAGTATACATGTTTCAAGCACTCACCCGTTACATGTGTTTTCTGGTATCAGACGACTTTATCTCTGATATCTTAATTGCAAGGTTGACGATATGTTTTTAAAAATAAAAATACTATTTTTTAAATTGATTTATCTTATCTCTTTAATAACAACTTAATCTAGTCTATCATGAAATCAGACTTGTAATTCAGTGATCTAATAGTGTGCGTACTAGATAATTTCATTTTAAGCAAAGTATTCGTCGAATCATTACAATACTTATTATGTTGTATACAATACTAAAAAATGAAAGGCGGATTAAGTTTTTCCAGAAATACATTTTTTTACAAAACAGAACCTTCGCAGATAAGGTAACTAACAAAAATTTATAGGTTACTCTATAAACTATATGATTTGAATATCATTTAAAGTCATTTCTATGTTTACTGTCTTCGATTATATGTAATTTGTTGCAGTTTTATTTCATTCTTATTCATAATTATTAATATTGCAACACTGTAATAGTTTATTTCAATACCAATTATTTTCCATCTATAAATAATTTGTGTATATTACATTTACTCTGTTAATTCGGTACTTAATGTTCCTTAACAGTTTATATGTTAGAGAATAATATAAGACAAAATTATGTTAATTTTGAGCTTATTTTTCAGAAAAATAGTAAATACTTCAATCGAAAGGAAAAAGATGCTAGTCTTACACCATTAAAGAAAGTTAAAAATAATTTAGAATCAATAAAAAATGCTCTTTTGCCATGGGATCCTAAAGACGATGTTGTTCCATGGATAGACAGGGTGTCTACCCCTTCGTTGCATTGTGAATTTCTTGTGATCGGTGGAGGTGTAATAGGCAGTTCTATAGCTTATTGGTTAAAAAAACGATGTTATAAAGACGCTAAAATTATAGTTGTTGAGAAAGATCCAATGGTAAGTTTTTTCCTTCACACGTATATTTTACATTTATTAGCCATACGCGAGCTAAATAAAATTGTTTATTTACGCGTTCAACGTTATAATATTATAAATGAATACAAAAATTTATCAGCATCTGTTTTATAAATGAAACTTTGAATTTTTTTCAGTATAGCACATCATCAACGGTTCTTTCGGCAGGTGGTTTGCGTCAACAATTTTCCATGCAAGAGAACATTGAAATGTCTCTTTTTGGTGCAGAGTTTTTACGTAACATTAACAGCTATTTAGGCATCGAGGGTGAACCCCGTATTGATCCGTATTTTCATCCCTACGGATATTTGATGTTGGCGTCAGAAAAAGGAGCTGAAACATTACAGCAGAATTCGAAATTACAAAATTTTCTTGGAGCAAATAATATTATATTGAATGAGTCTCGATTAAAAAGTATGTTTCCATGGTTAAACACGGATGGTGTTGCTTTGGGCTGTTTAGGATTGCAAAAAGAGGGTTGGTTCGATCCATGGAGTCTCCTTTGCGCTTTTAAAAAGAAGGCTCTATATTTAGGAGTAGAATATGCATACGCAGAGGCTATAGGATTTGAGTTGCGAAAATTCGGAGACGGCGTCACACATAATACATTTCTAGATAAATTAATTGTAAGGTTTTAATTTAATCCGATATTCGTTCTTTTAACTTTCTTTTATATTTCGTTTGTTTTTCATTTATAGTTCATTATATTATTAATTCCTAAATAAGAATAATGTACAAATGTTTAACGGGTAATATGTATAATTAGTAATGTTTGACAGATAAAAACTCTGGAGGGTGAAACAAGAACCATAACTTTTGCAAATGCTATTGTGGCTGCTGGAGCTGCAAGTGGAGAAATTGCAAAAATGGCACAAATTGGTTGCGGTACTGACACAGAAGGTGTATATTTACCCGTTGAACCAAGGTTATTATTTAATAGTAAATTCCTTAATGTTTATATTAAGCGAATATACGTATTTACGTGTGAGTACTAATGAAAAGAATCTTTTTTATAGAAAAAGATATGTTTATTGTTTTCATTGTCCTGACGGGCCAGGGTTAAACACACCATTAACAATAGATTATTCGGGAACATATTTCAGGTAATATCATCAAATTCGGTATTTGAAATTTATTAATTATTTCAATCAAATATTTATGTCTAAATGTAATTAATTTCTTACATGATGTGCAATATTCCCATTGATTATATTTTTACATTTATTTTAGAAGAGAAGGTTTAGCGGGAAATTATATTTGTGGAAGATCACCAGAAGAAACAGATGAGCCACCAACTAAGGATTTAAGCGTGGATTACGATTTTTTTGACGAAAAAGTTTGGCCAATACTTGCACATAGAGTTCCAGCTTTTGAAAGGTTAAAAGTACGTTGAATTTGAAATAATTACCGTAACCAGTCAAAAATCACTAGCAACAAATTAAAGGTAAACAAGTCTGATGATAAATGTTTCTTTAGTGAAAATAGGAAGAAAAGGAAAGAGAAAAATTGAAAAACTGATACATAGTTGTTCGTTTCCCGGTACGGTTAGCCGTAAAAGATCCTGTAATTCAGCATTGTTACCGTGAATAATTTTAATTTGATTTTAACAGCAACGACACACTCTTTCTTTCTTTTCTTAGTTGAAGTCTTGTTGGGCGGGATATTACGAATATAATACACTTGACCAGAACGGAATAATTGGAAGACATCCGTATCATGAGAATCTAATATTTGCAACTGGATTCAGTGGTCATGGAATTCAACAAGCACCGGCTGTAGGTAGAGCGGTAACAGAATTACTTCTCGATGGTAAATTCAAAACTATTGATTTATCAAAACTTGGTTACGACAGAGTCATTAAGAATGTACCTGTACGCGAGATTAATATTATTTAAAGAATGTACGACATACGTGTTTTAAATGTGATTTTTTCTATTAGTGTAAATTAATCACGTTGTTTGTATAAAGTTAGCATATTATCGATTGTTTAAAAGTACAAAGTAAATAATAACAATAATTTTTCTTATCTGTGTAAGATGTAAAAACGTTTCTTTTTATATACATGTTTAAAGGTGATATGTCATCTCCTATAACGTTTTTATATTGTCGAAACTCCAGATTTTCCATAGTACCAATGATTTGTTTTTCTTTTATTCAATTACAAGAATACAGAAAATTTGACGAAAGATCAAAACTATAGAAAAACATAAGAAAATGCAAGAAGTTCCAAATTTCATGTTAACATTTAATCAAGCAACATTCACACATCAGATGAATTTGTATATACGCATTTATAACTGTATATAATTATGTAACCAGGTACCCGCCGCCCGCATATGTATACAAGTTGCACATATATAGGGTAATAAATATTTATATTTTAGAATATAACAATGTTTTACTGGTTTTATTATTTTCGTTATACGTATAATTAATATTTAACTAGTATAAATTAATATAATAATAGAAACTAATTTAACCACATTGTATTCACAGTTGACAGCAGAAAATAATAGAAATTGTGTGATATTTCCATTCGTTAATATTTTTACTGTTATTTGTTTTTAAGCGATACACTTTTATTTGATTGATTTCACGAAATATTCAAAAAGCATACATTATTAATAATAGAAAGTAATACGTAACAACTAATTATATAACAATATTTGTGTTTCAGTTACATGCATATAGAAAAGTTGTTGTTTTAAGACTCGACATTTTTATACTTATATATCTTATATATTAAAATTGCTTTTCAAGCATACGCAGAGCTGAAAGTAATTTTACTGGTTTCAGATCACTTTTACATGTATTTTTATAATTTCTAAAAATCATTCTTCATTTTATTGTATGAAATGAATCGTAAATTAAATGATTTTGTTAGACTCGAGACTTTAGACTTTAGACTTTAGACTTTAGTTGTTATGTTTTATTAACGTTAATTAATAATATTGATATTTTTCCGATATTATTCAACACGTTTACTTTTTGTCATGTTTTCTTAATTAGTAATTTTAATAAACCTTTCAGAGATATGTAATGGAAACAGTAACAATTCTAAACACACGTAATATTTATTTATTAAAATGCAATTTGTAGAAATGAAAAAAGAACTGTTTGAAAAACGTCAATGTACACATAGGATAAACACGGTAGCAGAATATAAATATAATATTGTATTATATAAATGATAAAAAATTACAAATGTCCAGTATAAAATAAGTCTCGGAAAGTATATAGGATTTCGTTGAAGAACAAAATAAACGAAGAACATACGCGTGTTAATAGGGGACAGAGAAAATGTTCAATAACAAACAAGTGTATATAAGTTATCTTTTTGCTTATTAATTCATCACAGAAAAAAGGAACGAAAATTATGTAAACATTATAAATAAATATCTGATTGAAATAAGTGACTAATATTCGATTCTAGTATATGATTACCAAATACTTACGAATAAAAAGTACAAGATTTAAATAAGAAGAATTCGTTTACACAGCAGTTATTCGAAATACGAGTCACTAATTGCAATCGGATTTTCTTAACTGAAAAGCTCCTGTCAAAACTTGAATGATAAAATTTTTCTAGGAGATACGTTTGGTGAAATGAATTATTATTTTTCGGTTCGTATCAGTTTACTGTATTTCAATGCTGAGTACGGCGTATTATCAGATAAATGTAAATAAATGCGCGCACATCGAAGCAGCAACGGCAAGAAAAGATTATCGATTCTGACATTCAAGCCGCTCTACGGTCAATGTGTCTAAAAATTTTCATACTATACGAGCGAAACCAACCGACAGCATTTTTTCTTTCTTTTCAATCGTTTGAAACACGTAGAAGAGTGCTACGCGTACAATTGCATGAAGGAATGTATTTTATTTATAAAGAGAAGAAAAGAGAAGAAAAGAGAAGAAAAGAGAAGATAAGGAAAACGAAATACCATAAACAATGTGAGAAAACTATTTAAATACGGTAAAACTTAATAAATAGTCAATACTTATCGAGAAAAGCCAACTATATAAAATTGAAGCATATGAAAATAATAACAATAAAATAAAATTGGTAGAATAAATATCATCAGAATTCTTCTGATAAAATTATAATGAAGTGCAACAAAAGTTAAATGATGACAAATATACTATTAAGATCAATGAAATGTATGAAGCATATTAAGTTAAAGGAATATATAAATAGTCGAGGAACGATTGATCTTTCGCAGCCTAAGGTTGTCCCTATACTAACAATGTATAATGATTAAACTATGCTATGTAATACAGTACGTAATAAATACACTAATGATGTATAATATGTATTAACGTTCGGATAAAAGACATTACAATATTTACTTGTATTATTCGTATAGCAGAGGAACGTGGAACGAGATATATGTGTATATATATATATATATATATATATCATGTATATATCATATATATATATATATATATATACATATGTTTTTCTTACATTTCCGCTAAAAATGCAATGCAATCAAAGCAATGAGATTAACGAGGATTAAATCTGCTTAATGATTTTTCAAATTTCATCATTCATAGACATAATCGGTGCCACGTAGGCCTTATTTATCTTGATTAAACTAGAAACCGATTATACGTATGAATCATCAAATTCTTTACACGTTTATGTAAAATTGATCTCATATTAATTTTATACCTAATTCGAAACTGATAGTATATATTAACCGCCGAATGTTACTCGGTAGAAGAATGATGATTTTCAGTAATGATCTATCAATCCTCCCACGTCTCTCTTATGTGTCGTAAAACTACATTTTATTTCCTCGAAACTGAACATTTGAAAAGAAGTTTCGTTCAGAGAAAAGAGGAGAAAAGAGGAGAAAAGAGAAGAAAAATAAATGCTTTCGGTCGGCCAGACTGTAATTTGATAAAGAGCAAGTGTAACGCAGACTTGAGCGCCAGCTGACTGAAATTTTATTCGAAAATTCACGAACAATTTTTAACAGACTTATTTCGATAAATATATATATAAATAAATATATATATATATATATTTTAGTGAAATAAACATTTCTTTCCGAACGAACAGTTTCGTCTACAAAGAGTGCTAGACAAAACAATATTTCAAGCACTTATTTCAAAGTGAATAGAATTGTTTATCGTTAAATACTTACTTATGTAATCATTTAATTAAGCTTACGTGGCGTCTAGCACTATTTACGGACATGGCTGGTAATTTAATTTCGTAAAAATTGGTTCGTCAATTGTTCGGATAAAAGTTGCTCGACATTCAAACGTAAGGAGGCGCATATAACTTTGGATAGAAAGAGGTGTGCGGCTAAGGGAGCTGGCCCGTGTTTTCAAGATGAAAAGACGAAATAAAGACCATTTATTCCTCTTTCTCAGTCTTCTCAACATCCTGTTTCTCTTCAGCCTCTATATCTCCTTCGAATTTCGGGCCTGGTTCTTCTTCGTCGTCGAGCACGATCTCCTCTGGATCTGGAGCTCGCGGTAGGAAGTCTTCGTCAGGATACATCGCTTTGAAGATGCTCATTGCCTTTAACATACGTGCAACGCTATTAGAAATTTCTTACTCGATACGACCTTTCAAATCCTAAACTGCCACAACATTTAAAACATTTACTACTACTCAACTGCGAACAGTTTAAGAACGATTTAAAAAATAATCAACCTGATTCACTGCAAAGTCAAAGTCAAGATCTAAATCTGGACCGGAACAAAGATGAAGGTTATTTGGCGCAGAATCGTTTAATTTAATATCACTTGCGGGAAGATTTAAGTACAATGACCATAAAACTTGCGGTTTTATATTTTCTGCAAATTCTTCCTTGTCGTTTTCTTGTTCACCTTCCTGAAAATACATTTTTTACCTTAATAAATTTCAATGTTTTCAATATAATCGAATTCGTACGAACGAGCAAAACATACCTGAAGGTGTCTTTTGTCTGGAGAAACAGTTTGTGTATGGCTATGAATGGATGAACGATTGGCTAATGGATCGAAGGTTTCAGCTCTTAAAAATTTATTGACAACATAGGCCAAGTCTTCTTTCGCATTTGTTGTTCGCTTGCATGTCATGTGAACCATAACTGTGACAATACAAACCAATAAATACTTTGATTTTCAGTTCAGAAACGATCGTATCTCTCCTAAATAATATAGTAATGTAAACATACATAGTCCTTGAGGACAAGCATTTGTAGATGGTCCCAATTCAATTAATGTAACAGGTTCTTGACCCGGTTCTTCCGGAGGATAATATAAAAGTGTCAAATTCTCCTTCTCGCCTTGCATTATTGACCTACAAACATTCCAATATTATATTTCACGAGAATTCACCTTTCTATTGTCTGAAAGTTTCAATCAGATGCATTCTTATCGAAAATTCTTACCTGTCCGTAATGAATACTCCACGTGATATCCGTTGTTCACCTTCGAAAGCTACAATTTCTGGTGGTAAATGACCTTGGCCAACAACTAAATGTTTCAAAGTCAGTCGTTGCTTGCCACTAATTATAGCTTTACATTTCTCATTATCTATTACTACACCGTCAAGTTGTCTCTTTAAACAATACACTCCTCCAAATACTGCACACAATCTACAACCATTAAAACTTACTCGTTAGTATCACGATTACTATGTAATTTCGTATCGTAAGGGCGGGGAGGGGGGCATTCGAGGCGAATAAAGTTTTACAATAAAAACGATAATAAATATTTCACCTGCAGAAGCACTGAGGCAATTCTCCACTACCGTACATAGGCCAAAGGAAAGGTGTACTACCGTATCGTCCAAGACTGTTAAGAAAATGTTTTGTGCGATTTACACCATCTCTACAAGATGTCTTCTCAGTTGCCATTGCGATCGCTTGGACTATGTAATGTTGCACGATTGGCGTCAAATTCTTTGTATGTAGATATTCTAGGAAAGTCTTCTCCTGGAATCCTATTAACATTATATCGTTGCTTTAAAAAATACTATCAGTTCAGTTTAATAACGAACATATTACTGCAATATTTATTCTTGAATTTACCGTTTTCGAATATAATCAAATTTTTAGAAAATTAATAATCTACGTGTGCATAAATACCATCGAATTCGGGACTATCAGCACCTTGTACCATGCACGATGTGAGCAATTTCATAAGCATCCTTTTCTCAACAAGGCTAACAGTTTTATTTGCAAACACATCGGTTCTCGAGCAAGGTACTTGCGTTAGTTTTCCATCCATAAAAGTTGCCACTCTAGATACTGATCGAAATTCCGCATAACGAGAGATGTTACTGGAGATGAGCAATTCTACAAGTTCACCTCGCGCGAACAGCAACTATTCCAGGCATATAAAATTTCAATTATTACATATACACGCTAATTTAGCGTTTATTGCCCAAAAAGTACTCCACTTGTACAAATATAAGTGAGATTGGAATAATATTTCAAATATACGATCTATGGCTTCTAATTAAATTAATTTTTACGTAAATTAAATTCTATACTTTGAAACAGCTAAATATATATATATATATATATATTTATATATCTTACTTATCTTACTTGCTCGATAATGAGAAATAAATAAACCAGTAACAAAGTTTATATAATGTTGTATATAATGTATATGTTATATTAAAAAATAACAAGTAATACAAGACAAGTAAACTTCTTATGTTTGATTTGTAGTTTATTAATTTTTGTTGTACCTTTGGAGCCAAGTCAATATTGAATTTTCTGTATTCTTTTCTTATACGATCTATACTCCAATGTTTAACATTTTCCTTTTTATCAACTTTATCCTCATCTGCCTTCTCATCGCCACTACCACTACCTTCCCCAGTACTATCAGTTTGAGTATCTTTTGAAGAAACCACAGGCAAATCAGCCTCGCTAAGATAGAAAAATAGTTTAATTTTCGAACCGATATTCAAACAAAATTATGAAAGATGTTTAAAAATAGACTTACTTTGAAATATACCAAGTTTCTTCGATATTTTCTACTGTAGAATATTGATCGCTAGCTTTTAAAAACTTTTCTTCGGGTTCTAAATCTATTCCTGTTACATCCTTGGTATTATTTTTTGAAATTTTTAAATCTTCTATCCATTTCTGTAGACCATCAAAATTAAATGTTGCCCAGAGGCCACCATAATATTCATTACTGCAAAATAATTTTTTAATTAACATTCGGAATCAATGAAATGGAAAATCAATCCTGTTTATTTTTAAATAAGAGAAAGATAAATACAGGCTATTAATTGTATATTGGGATATTCTATTTATCTTTATCACAAATACTATTTCTTTTCACTTTAATACTACCATTTGTTAACTGAATTTTATTATGGACTTGGCAATTAAGTTCATAATTAATTTGTATCATCGTCAAGTATAATAATAACATTTTCGACACATTCTAATGAGTAACGAATAATGAAACTACAATATAATAAAAGAAAAGTTATGAAAAGTGAAACCGTTTAACCGAATAAATTTCATTCGGAGATCCATTATATTTTGTATCTTAAAACTAAATATTTTCATACAGGAAAATACTAATGCATGTTACAGTTAAAATCATATTTAAGAACACGATTATCAAGGTATTAAAACATTTCAATTTTATTTTTTAATTTAACTATTTATATGCATATAATATAAACTTATAAACTTACAAAGATTTGATGAAATGGATGACACAAGTACATTATTATTAATTTAAATACAATAATAATTACATCATTCGGGTAATAAATTACTAACTATTTAAATATTTTACTTTATAGAATGTCTCCTATTAAAAATGAACAAGCTTTGTCACATACGATACCAATCAATTGGAAAACACAAAGAAATTCAGATTTTAATCAAAGGATTCGCTAATTCTCTCTTAATATCTTGAAAAAGTGAATAAAACTTCAATTTTATATGAAAATGAAACTTTGAAAATTTTATTGCCAAAGCTGGTATACTTATGCTGATATAGATATTTATATAAATTTTACAATCACGAATATCGAAGAACAATTTTTGTGATATTTTTAAAAAATCATGCACATATGTGTACACACGTGTGTGTGTATATAAT